AAAGCCATAGATGATAACCGAGTATACCTTCACGACAGAGCCTCAAAGCCCAAGCTGAAACAATAACCCTGGATCGACCTGCAGGTTTGCTTGTTGTCCGCCCACGACAAATCACAATGCCTGAAAAATCGCACTGGTCGGGTCCCTCCAAGCACAAGCCCTATGCCTTATGTGGTGGCCTAGTATTATACCCTCTTAGCAGCCGTCCATTGAACCTGACGGTGTCTCCTTGTTGCAATGAAGCGAGTAATGGACGCTGAGAGGATAGGCGAGGTCTGGCCGTATACATGTGATCATGTACATGAGGCAACCTACAAGCTCTACGTAGTGCGCACCAGGCTCAACCGGATTGTCGAAAACGGGGGCAATGGGTATGCGTTCAACAACAAGAGGGATGGGATATGTGGTGGAGAACAAGAAGCTGAACCACTGATGTGCTGCACCATCTGTGACTGAGTCAGAATGATGGTGCGCTCTTCTCTGTCCCATGCGATTTCCAAGCCAAGATGGTTGTGCAGTACACCAAGGTCAATACTCTAATGAAAAATATTGCTTCTCGTGGTTTTCAAGCCTTTGAAAAATTCAGGGGAGATTTAGAGGCCAAGAAAAGGCCTCTAGATATTATTCAGGTACCCTAGAAGTTGGGCAAAGCATTACGGAGTGTAGAAAAGGGTCGTACGTTCCGTGGAGTTAATATTCTCTCCCCGAAGCACAGTTTTAAGGCTCCCTGTTGCCCACAGGTGAAGCCTAGACAACTCGAAAGGCTTAGAGGGAAATTTCAGGCTCATGAGAAGTTGTACAAGCCTCGGAAAAAACCTCCTACCCCTCAAGTGAAGTTGGAAAGTGCTGAGTCAGGTATAGGAAATAGGGATGGTAATATCTTTGATGCACCCTATTATCCTATCAATGAGACCCTCTTTGGCTACTCAGCGCAGCAGGAACCACTACTCCTCGATGTGTCATGCAAACGACGATGCCTCCAGGCACTGGTGGACAGCGGTGCATCTCACTCGGTGTGTGACCGCGGGACGTTGAAGAAAATTGGAGAACCTTCAGAGGAGACCAAGTTCGCAGCAACAATGGTGGACGGCACGAAACTTCCCATCCACGGCGAAGCATCACTGCAGCTGCACATAGGGGCATTAAGGTGGATGCCGATGTTGCCGATCACGAACATCAAGGGTTTAGATTTCATCTTGGTGCGAGATTTCTTGAAGCGGTTCAACCCCGAGATCGACTGGGTCAACAGGAAGGCGTGCATCTACAATAATAGGAAACGAGTGGAGCTGCAAAGCTAGACGTATACAGGGAGCGTTCCTAGAATGACACCGACACGATTCGAACAGACGGTAAATAAGAGTAACACGGGTTACTTAGCACTAGATATGGCAGCAACAAAGGAGGAGAAGCCAAACACAGAGCTACCCGCAGCAGTGAAGGAGGTCTTGGAGCAGTACAAGGATATAATGCCCGACGACCTACCTGCAGGCATACCTCCAGCACGCACCCATGAGCAAGAGATTGTAGAGGAACCAGGGGCGAAACGCGTCTCACGTGCACCCTACCAACCGAGCCCGACAGAACTGAAAGTTATGAAGAAGCAGATAGAGTATCTACTGGACAGACAACTGATCCGCCCATCCACCTCTCCCTACAGTGCACCATTTCTCTTCACTCCAAAACCAGACGGTAGTTTACGGATGTGCATCGACTACCACGCACTAAACAAACAAACAGGAAAAAACAAATATCCTATAACGCGCATGGATGACCTATTGGACCAACTACTAGGTGCAACACTCTTTTCGAAGCTGGATCTAGGGTCAGGTTACTGTCGGATCAAGATGGCGGACAACTCGGTCCACAAAACGGCGTTCCGTACCAGTTACGGCTCCTACAAATACGTGGTGATGCCGTTCGGACTCTGCAACGCAATAGCGACGTTCCAGGCAGAGATGAATCATATCCTACGGCCCCTGCTGGACGAGTGCGATGTGGTGTACGTGGACGACATTCTTACCTACTCCAAGAACATGAAGGAGCACGTGGAGCATCTGCGGAAGGTGTTCAAGATCCTGTGGAAAAACAAATTCTACATGAAGCTGTCAAAGAGCGACTTCGCCCTGAAGAAGGTGCAGTTTCTCGGGCACATGGTGAGTGCGGCATGGACTCGCGAAAAATCGAAGCTGTCAAAAAGTGAAAAGTTCCGGATAACGTGAAGGAGTTGCAGCAGCTCCTAGGCTTCGCCAACTACTACAACAGCTTCGTACCACAGTACGCTAAGACCGCGGTCTCAAGTTCCCCCACCATCGAAGTTCCCCCACCAGCCCGTTTTTTTCGAAGCTGATGGGGGTTTTGGTGGGACTGCTCCTACTCTGACCACCAAACCTCATTTTGGCGGGCGACAGATGTCGCCAGCATCGCATGTCTAACATCCAATAAAATTGATGCGCCAGCTCGCAGACCAAGTGTTGAATTAACCTTGTCAGGCAAAACGTAAACGACCGAGCCCGACAGTTGCGCCTGACCTAAACCTTTGGCACAATAGTCAATTCAAGACAACTTGGGTGATATTGGCAGATTCACGCAAGCAGTGCAGAAATGGGTTGCGTAGGCAGGAAGAAAATATTTGTTGCCGGCTATGTCCACCCAACTGGCATGTATAACACTGTAGTCCCACATCCAGCAAACGTGGCACGATCTCCATCGTCGCATACTGACGGACAGGCCACGCATCGCGACCGTGGCTGATTGGATTCAAGGTGTCGGAAGTTCGAACCGCGTGGGGGAACTTTACAATGTGAATTAATGCCACGTCAACATTTCGAGTCGCGTAGGGGAACTTCAGCTGGTGGGGGAGCTTGCGAATGCGCCCTAAGATAGCAGCGCCACTGATCGACCTACTGAAAAAGGATACTCCCAATAAGTGGGATACTCCACATCAGCAAGCCATGGAGCAGTTATAGATAGCAGTGAATACAGCGCCAGTACTCATCCTATCAAACACAGACAAGAAATATGCAGACGCTAGTGACCAAGCAGTCAGAGCAGTACTAATGCAGGATCACGGACGCGGTTTGCAGCCCATCGCCTACCTCAGTAAGAAGCTACACGGAGCAGAACTTAACCACCCCATCCACGACAAGGAAGCCTTAGCCATAGTCGTAGCCTTCAAGGCATGGAGGTGTTACCTAGAGGGAGCCAAGACCACAATTTATACAGACCACTGTAGCCTCAAATACCTGAAGTCGCAACTGACGCTCTCACGTCGACAGGTGCGGTGGGTGGACTTCCTGGAAACCCACTTCCACTACGACATCGTCTACAAGCCCGGGTTACACAACAAGGCAGATGCGTTGAGCCGGCTCGGTCATGTAGCAAGCATCCAGCTCGACGGGATAAACCATCTGCTCAAGGGTCTTTTCCAACATAGGTACTCCGTGGACGCAGAGATTGCTACAGCACTGACTAAGAAGCTGTTACACTGGGAGAAAAACCTAGCTGTAAGAAAGGGCACAGGAAATATTTGGGTACCGAATTATGCCCCACTCCGAATTCTACTGGAGGAGTTTCACGACGTACCATATGCTGGATATTTCAGGAGTAACAAGATGTTAGTAGGGATAGCAAAGTATTACTACTGGCGTGGGATGGCAGCAGACGTGCAGCAGTTCGTCACCTCATCCGACACGTGCCAGTGAATGAAGAGTAGCAAGCAGAAGAAAACAGGGCCACTTTAGCCTCTTCCCATACCGGAGCAGCCATGGTAAGTCGTTAGCCTTGAATTCATCACGGGACTTCCTTCGACCTCACGAGGGCACGATGCTATACTCGTGGGGATCAATAAGTTCTCCAAGATGGGTCACTTCATCCCGACCAGCGCCACGGCTATAGCTGAAGCAACTGCTCGCCTCTTCTTCGACCGCATCATCACCATCCACGGCATCCTCTCTACACTCATCTGCGACCGAGACCCCAAATTCACGAGTAAGTTCTGGAAGGAGCTCATGGGACTGTTGGGGACTAAGCTTGCGATGTCTTCAGCATACCACCCCCAGACTGACGGACAGACAGAGCGACTCAGTCAAGTGGTTGAACAATTACTACGCACAGCTTGCAAGGACGAAGTCAGCCACTAGGACACACAGTTACCGACCCTAGAGTTCGCTTACACCAACGCGTCACATGCGGCCATAGGGAAAACTCCTTTCTTCCTGTGTTACGGACGGGAACCACTCACACCACAGTAGCCAACCACACCGGCACACGTCCAAGCCGCACACGACTTCATCACCACCACGCAGCAGCTATGGGAGAAGACTTAGCGACGTCTCACCACAACGCAAAACTCCCAGAAGCAGTATGCCGATCGCCAACGACGTGATCACTCAGTAGCAGTCAGAGATCAGGTGCTTCTTGACATGTGCAAGTTGAACCTGTCTCACCTACCATCCAAGCTCCGGCCTCGCTTCTGTGGTCATTTTCTCGTTGAGGCACAGGAAACACCAGTAACATTCCGCTTGCGCTTACCTACTACGTGGAAGCTTCACAATGCTTTCCATGTTCAGCTATTGAAGCACTACAAGGACCCCAACCAACAGGTCCAGGGACGGCAGCTACCACCACCACCACCTGTTCTCCTACAGGATGAACCCGAGTATGAAGTGGAGCGCGTTCTCATTTATTGGCGCCGCGAGGGCAAGACCCTCGAGTTCCTGATATATGACCCCACTGAGGACAGTTGGGTTGCAGAAGCTGATATGGGCAACGCACGCTGTGCTCTCAAGGACTATCTTGTCAAGCAGGGTGTATCTCACGCCACCCAGCTTTGAGTGGGGGACGTATGAGAGTACGACGGCTTATGCAGGCTTTGCTAGCTTGCCTGGACCTTGTTATGCTATTACTAGCTTGGGTTATATTTTATCATGCATAGATATGCTTGATTTTATTGCGCCGCCCTGCGCATGCCCTGCCTTGCTCTGCATCGCGCTACCCAGCGCATGCCCTGCCCTACCCTGCGTCGTGCCGCCCCGCGCACGCCCTGCCCTACCCCGCGTCGCGCTGCCCCGCGCATGCCCTGCCCTGCCCCGCGTTGCGCCGCCCCTGCAGCCCGCGCGGCACCCCTGCAGCCCGTGCACCGCTCCTACAGCCCGTGCGTCACCCTCTGCAGCCCGCGCGTTGCCCCTGCAGCCCGCGCGCTGCCTCTGCAGCCAGCGCGCCGCCCTTGCAGCCCGTCGCATCGCCCTAGGGCCCGTGTGCTACCCTGCCCTGCTCGCCACACAATGCCTGCTCGCAGCGCGCTGCCCTTCTCGCCGCGCCCTCCCTGCTCGCCGGGCGCTGCCCTGTTCGCTGCACACTGCCCTGCTCACGCACACCCTGCCTACGCGCGCCCTGCTCGCAGGTGCACAGCCTAAGTGCGCCCTGCCCGCACGCGCAGCCTACGCGCGCCCTGCAGCCAGTGCGCCGCCCTGCCCTGCATCCCGCTTGCCCTGCATCCCACTTGCCCTGCAGCTCGCGCGCCGCCCTTGCAGCCCGCGAGCCGCCTCTGCAGCCCGCGCGCCGCCCTGCTGGCCGTGCGCCGCCCCTGCCTGCATGCGCGCCGCCCCTGCCTGCACGTGCGCCGCCTCTGCCTGCCGCACGCCACCCTCTCCAGCCCAAACGCTGCCCTGCTGGCCGCGCGCCGCCCTTGCCTGCCCACGCGCCGCCCTCTGCAGCCCGCGCGCCACCCTGCTGGCCGCGCGCCGACCCTGGCAGCCTTCGCGCAGCCCTGCAGCCCGCGCGCCGCCCTTGCAGCCCGCGCGCTGCCCCCTTGCAGCCCCGCGTGCCGTCCTGCCTTTCCGTGCGCCGCCTCTGCTCTAGTCGCACGCCGCTCTTCCCTGACCGTGCGCCGCCTCGACCTACCCTAGTGCCTCCTTGCCGCCCTGCCTTCCCTCCGTGCTGCCCTACTGGTCGCGTGCCTCCTTGCTTGCCCGCTATGATTTCTCTTCATAGTAGCGGTGGGAGTGGTGGCGGCGGTATTGGCAGCAGTGGGAGTGGAGGCGGCTGTAGTAGCAGACGATGTGGAGCTGTTCGGTGAGGAGTTTCTGGCGGTGGCCAGATGCAGCTGCAGCGGCGTCCGCGCGAGACCCTTTCGCCCTAGCAGCTACATGAGTGGTACGCTAGTAGGAGTGGTGGCGACAGCAGTAGTGGCAGTCGCTGTGCAGCTGTTTGGTCGGGAGCTTCTGGCGGTGGCCTGGTGCAGCTGCAGCGGCGTCTGCGCGAGACCTTTACGCCCCAGTAGCTTCGTGAGAGGTACGCTCAGCGTGGGGCGTCTCGAAGTAGTGCTCTCTGGCCGTACGTCATTCGCACAGGTGATCGGGCTCGTCAGACTTGCGGGTCAGTTGGTCACACACAGTCCCGCTACTTCTCCTGTCTTAGCGACGCCTGGCGCGCAGAGTTTGGCGACGCGACTGAGCTCCCCCGCTAGCTAGACCTGCTTAGGCAGGGTGTAGATATCTTTGCTCTAGACTATGACGCTATCTTCACTACCATGTATGCTTTGACTATTGGTACTGAGGGTGACTGTTACCTGTGTGTGCCACCCGACCCTAGTATACAGGCTGCTGCTCTAGGTGCTCGTGAGTCTACTCTCTTTGGTACTGCACCTGCTGAGGCAATGCACACCTTTACGCTTGACTCAGGTGCTTCCCGCTGCTTCTTTCGCGACAGCACCACAGTCACACCACTCGCAGCATCGGTTGCAGTCTCTCTGGCTGACCCCTCTGGGGGACCGGTTCTTGCACGTTCCTCCACTGTTCTCCTGTCTTTGGCGGTCCCTTCTGGCTCACTGTCAGGTCTTCACCTCCCCTTGTTCTCTATGAACTTGGTGAGAAACGCCGTCCTTTAGGATGCTTGAGTTGATACCTTTACCCTTAGAGGACAGCGTGTGGCAATCTGCACGTGTGCACGGACGGGCCGTCACCTGGCCACGTTCGCCCGTCGGCCTGGGTCAAGCCTGTACACACTGACTACCGAGCCTCCTCAGGTAGCTGAGCCTGCGTCAGCGTCAGGTCAGCTTGCAGCCCCCTGCTCGTGTCGTGTCCTGTTGCACCAGACTCTCCTTTGGCACCACCGCCTTGGTTACCCCTCCCTGCCACGCCTCCGTGGCATGCACTCCTGTCTCCTTGTCTCTGGCCTTCCCAGGTCTCTGCCTTTACTCCACCCTCGCCTGCCCCTCCCTGCCTTCCCTGTGTCGAGGGGCGGCAGCGTGCCGCTCCTCACTCCTCCTCGTTTCCCTCGTCCACTGCTCCCCTGTAGAATCTCCACATGGACGTGTGGGGCCCAACCTGAGTCCAGGGACAGGGCCGCGAGCGATACATTCTGCTGGTTGTTGACGACTACTCGCGTTACACCACGGTCTTCCCCTTGCGCAGCAAGGGGGAGGTCCCTGATATTTTGATCCCTTGGATCCGCGCTGTCCGTCTCCAGCTCCGCGAGCGGTTCGACACTGACCTTTCGGTCCTGCGTCTGCACTCTCACAGAGGTGGTGAGTTTGCCTCCGACCTCTTGCGGGACTTTTGTCGTGGGGAAGGCATCACCCAGTCGTTCACGCTTCCGGCCTCTTTGCAGCATAATGGGGTTGCTGAGCGCCGCATTGGCTTAGTCATGGAGGTCGCTCGTACCTCCATGATCCATGCGGCTTCTCCCCATTTTCTGTGGCTGTTTGAGGTCCCCTACGCTGCACATCAGCTGAACCTCTGGCCCTATGTCTCCTTGCCGGAGACCTTGCCTACACTGCGTTGGACGGGAGAGGTTGGCGATGCATCGGTGTTCTGGGTCATGGGCTGTCGTGCCTTTGTCCGCGATACCTCCGCGGACAAGCTCTCCTCCCATGCCATTCCCTGCATCTTCCTTGGCTTTCCCCCTGACGCGCCTAGCTGATAGTTTTACCACCCCACCTCGCACCGTGTCTTGCCGTCTCAGGACATCACGTTCGATGAGTCGGTTCCATTTTACCGTCTCTTCCCCTACCGCACTGCCCCTCTCTCCCCCCCCGCCGCTCTTCCTCACTCCAGGTCCCCCTCCAGTAGACCCCCTCCCCCCTCAGGGTCCTGCTCCTTCAAGTGTATCTCAGGTAGACCCATTCCCCTTGGTTGAGCCTGTCGAGGTCACTAGTGACTCTGGTGCTACTCGGGGTGCTGTGTCTGCAGGTGCTGAGCCTGCGGTTGCGGAACCTGAGCGTGCGGAACCGAGAGGTGCTTGTGAGGATCTAGGATCGAGCTCAGAAAATGTTAGAGACTAAGAATCGAGTTTGTGAAGATTAGGAGCCTAAATTTCTCAAAATCGTTGGCTTGAAATTCTGGACAGAAACCGCGACTTCACAAGAAACGTTGTCGACGGAACGTGCACCGTTAGAATCGTTTCAAACTCGAGTATGTTATAGCCCTTGTTAGTGGCTATCATTCCCAATTTGAATCGTATCGAAAGGTGGAGTAAATCTCGAGTTATGCTTCTCGGCGCACCAGGGGGTATGCTGCCACATAGAAATTAAATTCACTCACAATAGTTTCACAAGTTCACAAGAGTTGCACACAAGAGAGTTAGAGTAGCACTAAACCAGGTAGGAGGAAAGAGGAGGACGAGAGGGAAGGTCCCAAGGAGTCCCCAACCAAAGAAAACTCCATGCCACACAATTCCCTTCCCCATAGGCAGCCCAACTTTGACCTTTGTCACTATCCCAACTCCACAATCCACCTCAACCCAACTTGGCCACACTTGCCAACCTGGTTTGGTTTCTCCCAACCAATTGGCAGCAACTACAGTAGTAGTGACGAGTTTCCCAACCCCCAAAAGTCTGTACCCCATATTGAGTCAACCCCACAACTCTCCATGGTCACCACAACCAAATATCAAAAGCATACGAACTCCAACGTTCGTAACTTTCTTGTTCGTGCTCCGATTGAAGTGATTCTTGGTTCGTCGGAAAGCTCTTGAGCAGAGGAGTCACTTCAGATATCTGCTCAAGCCAAATAACATTCACACACACTCAGAAAATACAAACCACAGAAAAACACAAATTCTTGCGAACGCTCATTTCACACATGCAACGCACGAACACATGATGGGAGGCAGACAGACGTGGATGCAAATGATAGCATCACATAACAGAAAAGAGAATGAGAATTGAGTCGAATTGAATGATCACCTGGGTACAACATGAGGCTATATACACGCTCGACACAAGGCCCCGTAACCAGGTGTTACACGAAGGTTCCGCGGGCCGCGTAGCGTCCCGAACGGATCCTTACCAAATTCGGTAGAAGGCAATTCGGTGGCAACCGAAAAGGCCAGAATTCGGTGCTCGCAACCTAGCTCGGAGCCATAACTACAATAAAATATAGGAAAGCACCTAGCCTAGGAAATCAAGCAATTTATGCATGCATATGATTATCCTATGCTAGAAATAGCATGATAAAGTAAAGGCAAGCAAGCATAGCTGGCATAAGCCGTCGTACTCTCACACGTCCACCCCTCAAAGCTGGGTGGCGTGAGATACACCCTGCTTGACAAGATAGTCCTTGAGAGCACGGCGTGCGTTGCCCATATCAGCTTCTGCAACCCAACTGTCCTCAGTGGGGTCGTATCCCTTCCAGCGTATCAGGAACTCGAGGGTCTTTCCGCTGCCGCGCAGATGAGTGAGAAAGCGCTCCACTTCGTACTCTAGTTCATCCTGTATGAGAACAGGTGGTGGTGGCGGTAGCTGCTGTCCCTGGAGCTGTTGGTTGGGGTCCTTGTAGGGCTTCAGTAGCTGGACATGGAAAGCGTTGTGAAGCTTCCATGTATCTGGTAAGCGCAAGCAGAATTTAACAGGTGTCACCTGTGCCTCAACGAGAAAAGGACCACAGAAGCGAGGCCGTGTCAAATTATAATGTTGTGTAGGCTGTAGTGGGGTAGCCTATATGGGGTGCTGACTCTGTGGGTGCTGAGCGTGGGGGTGCTGAGTCTGGGGGTGCTGAGCCTGGGGGTGCTGGGTCTGGGGGTGCTGAGCCTTGGGGTGCTGAGTCTGGGGGTGCTACGCCTGGAGGTGCTGAGCCTGGGGGTGCGGAGCCTGGGGGTGCTGAGCCAGGAGGTGTTGAGCCTGGGGGTGCAGAGCCTGTGGGAGCTAAGCCTGCAGGTGCTGTGTCTGGCGGTCCTTCAGATGCTTCGTCTCGCCGGGAGCCACTCTCTCCATAAGAGCTGCGTGAGTGGTTTGCCCGGCGCTGGAGGCGGGCTGCTGGAGCTGGAGGTTCTTCGACTGCTGAGGGTACTGGTGCCGAGGGTCCAAGAGGTGCTCGTACTGGGAGTACTAGAGCTGCTGGGCCTGCGGGTACTTCTGGAGCTGGAGTTACTGAGGGTGTTATTGCTCAGGCTACTGCTGTCGGTGCTGGAGGTGCTGCTGGTGCTGCTGGAGGTACTGGAGCTGGAGGTGCTGCTGGCACTGGTGCTGCCGCTGAGAGTACTGGTTCTGTCCCTGCTATGAATGGAGTCGCCGCGCGGCCTCGGCCGTACTTCGTTCCGCTCCTTCAGCAGGTTCTTGGTCTCCTGCCTTCTACTGGTCCTCCTCCTCCCTTAGAGTGTCCACTGCCTGACCCGTCACAGCTACAGTTACAGCCGACCTCCCCACTGCCTGCTCCGTCTCCCTACACTGGTCCTACTGGAGGTCTTGCTGAGCGTCGTGAGCCTGCGTCTCGCCCTGCGTCGCTTGTCCGTGCTGCTCGCACTAGTGGTCGCGGTTCGCGTCAGCGTCTTCCTCCTATCCCTGGCACGCACCGAATGTCTCTACGTCCATCCACTGCTCCACTGCGTGCCCCTTTACCTTCTCCTCCTGAGTCCTCTCTTCCTGCTCTTCCTACCCCGGAGTCGGACTCTCTTCGTGCTGCCAGTCCTA